TCCTTAACAGCATCCAAAAACTTCCTAATATTATCTGAGTTGGAATCTGTATACTTGTGTCGCCATATAAATTCATAAAAAATATCCTTAGTGGAAGTATCCTCTGACGTTCAACACATACTCATTTCTTTCTTACAAACTGGACACCGAATAATGGCTACTAAATAAATATTCATTTACACACCATTTAAGTAATGCTCTTTTTCTCCTTTTTTTATCCAAATCGTACAAAAACTCAAATTAATCTTACATTCAGCCATTTTACCATCTAAACCACAAAACAAGCAATATACTTCCTAACCAACACACACTACAAGCTCTTAAAATTTACATCAATCATGCAGCCGATTATGTCATAATAGTATTTCCATATTGTTCAAGTACTCAGACTACCATAAATGAAACAACAACTTCACGATAACACAAAGGCTACCATTCTCTCTACTCTAACCGTCTTGAAGAGTGAAGTAAAAGTCTAAAGAGTGAAGTAAAGAAGAGTAATTCGAGGTGAATTTGGTTTCTCTTTAATGCAATTCAGTGATGTTCTAGTGTAATTTACTAGAGTGTAGTAATTTATGAGTTTTCAAATGCTATAAGTATGTTAATATTCTCATGCACTTTTATTACTTGCATAGAAATACTTTCCATTTTTCGTTTATGCAAATAAAAGTTACAAATTGTCTATATGTCAATATAGAAGAAGTCTGCTTTCAGAACACAAATTTCTGTGGATGAGACATCCTTTTAAAAAAATTATACTGGTTATTTTTATAATAGTGGTATTTTTTACCTAATCTGTTGACATCAGAAACTTTTTTTTATGAACTAATATTTAATTTATAGTTACTGATGAGTGCAAGTATTGTCATCAGCTTGTGTATGTTTTACAGGAGAATTTTTAACTTTTTATTTCATTTCATTAATTTTTTTTAAAACAAGTATCAACTTACTAACCCTAGGGACCAGGAAGCCATATAAAAGTTAGATATCATAGTACAGTAATCTGTTGCCAAAGACGAACTTGCAAAATGCAATTTCTTAACTGTCTCCATTTAATTTGTCTAACACAAGAATTTCAACAATATATGGTATGCTGCAGAGCATCAGCTGTCATGGTCCTGTTTAATGAATTTGAAAAATTTAGAAATTCATTCAAACATTACTTACAACAGCACAACCTGAGCTTTAAAGATCTAATTCCTGATAATGCTCTCAAACATTGTGTTGAAGCTCTCACAACATTGCATCAAAATGTAAGGGTTATCGAACTATACCCAATTCTTTTTTTTTTTTTTTTGTAGAAATTCAACTTTGCATAACGCAATTTTGCCGTACATGCATTGTATACTTACACCACGTGCTCAGCAAGTATATATTGTATTCACACACAAAAACAAAAAAATCCCCTTTTTATTATGGTGTTTTGTGCATATCTATAACTACAATCAGCGTCATTTTGACCACTTGTTCCAAAAAGAAGAAAAGGATTGCATTTTGCTAATATTATATAAAGTTAATGGTTAAAATGATATATTTTGCTTGTTTAATAAGAAAATAAAGTAAATTGAGTAAATACGTGCTACCAAAAGATAATTTAATGTAACAAATAGCAAAGTAAAATAATGTGAGTAAATATATTAATCGAAGGATAATTTAATATAAGAAACAGCCAAAAGAGAAAAAGATCACTAAAGATATTTTTTAATAAATTGCTTCGTAAAAATTTTTAGTAGAAAATAAATATATTAAAAATTATTAAATTATAAAATATCTGTACTTGCAGTACTCTTGCGTACAGTTTACAGGGTTCCCACGCTACCTGGAAAACCGGAAAAGTTAGAGAATTTGAAAATTGACCAAAAAAATCAGGGAATTTAAATATTTTAGTAAAAATCTGGAAAAGTCGAGGAATTTCATACGGTAATCCCAAAAAGGGTGGGTTTTGCGCCAGCGTTGGAAGGATCTCTTTTTTTAGAGAATTATGTATCGCGTGAGCGTCATTCGGGCTCCAATCAGTTTGTTAGGAAGGCAAAGCTATTTTCTAGAAACTTTGATTTCCAGTAACCTCGAGAATCAAGAGACTCACATGTGCAGTGCATGTTGAACTATAGAAAATACTAGTAAAAATCTTATAATTTTTTTTTCCTTTTTAATAAATGCCTTTTTTTGTCAATTTGTAGTAAAATAAAAAAATAGTAACCAATCATCTAGACTAACCATTTAATATAACTTTATTCATGTCACTTAATGTGGCTTCTTCCCTCTGAATTTATTTTTTATTAGTTAATGATACTTTCATATTTCAGGCAGTTTTCTCTGGCATAATCCTGAAACTAATTTTAGCAGTATGATGACATACTATCACGTAATTTAATGCACATATTTCTTGCTTATGTATGCTGCGAAATATTTTTTTTTTTTCTTGATTTTTTTTAAATATCATTAAATAGATTTCTTTCTTTTGCAAAAATTAGCTGCAAAATGTCTCCAAAAAAAGAATAATAATTTTTTAATCCAGATCTTCAGTGGAGAAAACAACTCCTATTATAGTTATAATAGTAATACTGTGGGAATTATATATGCAATTGGCAATGTAAGACGTGTGTAATTGGCAAATGTTTCAGTTTTCAAATGGTACCATAATTAATTTACCTAGCCAGTGTGCTCTACGTGGACAGATTAGAATTTTTTTAAAAACATACCTGGAAAAGTCAGGAAATTTCATTCTTCTCTTTGAGTGGCAATCCTGAGATTATTAATTTTTGACTTTTACCTGTACACAAACTTATTTTTTACAGTATTCAAAGTTTTGTTCTTTGCATGCATTTATTTGGCATTGTTTACACTTATAGAACGGGTTGACACAAGTCATTTTTTCATTAGATACAGAAAGTTTGTGAATTTTGGATGCATCTTTCGAAGCTCAGTATTTTTTTACCATCTGTTTCAAAATATCAACTACATATTTGGTCAAATTGTAAAAATTCACAGCTTCTCATAACACTTGTCAAAACATTTCCAGATTTACAAACTGAAAACTTAAAAACATCATTCGCTGTTTCTTTATAATTTTAAATTTCTTTACTTTATATACATCTACCTCCTTCTCGAGTTCTGTTTTGTTGTCTTTCACTATTTTCTCAAACGCGACTACTGCCGTTGATTTCACTTCCGGAAACTATACTAGTAGAAGGCAATGTAATATTTTCTTGATCTAAATTTTTACTTTTCTGTTTCATGAACAGATTTTTCCATCAGATGAATCAGATTCACTTGCTTCAAAATATTCTAAGATCTATAAATCGACATCAATCACTTTTTAAATGTAACTTTTAATATGTACAATATTTACAGATCATAGATCAAACATGGTGGTTCAGTTGACAAATAAATCTATATGCTTTCATAATCGAAAATCGAAATCAATAGGAACCGAAGTGTTCCTAATCAATAGTGTGCGAAACCATCAGACATCCATCTATCGAACTGCCGGTGGAGAGTCTCTGGAAATTCAGAAGGCACGTCGCGTCTCGTTAACACGCAACGCTAGCGCCATCTATCAATTAATCAAAATAATTTCCACACACTGTTTCAAAATATTCTAAGATCTATAAATCGACATCAATCACTTTTTAAATGTAACTTTTAATATGTACAATATTTACAGATCATAGATCAAACATGGTGGTTCAGTTGACAAATAAATCTATATGCTTTCATAATCGAAAATCGAAATCAAATAGGAACCGAAGTGTTCCTAATCAAAAAGTGTGCGAACCATCAGACATCCATCTATCGAGCTGCCGGTGGAGAGTCTATGGAAATTCAGAAGGCACGTCGCGTCGCGTTAACACGCAACGCTAGCGCCATCTATCAATTAATCAAAATAATTTTTCAGCAGGAACAGCCCAGTCCTTGCCGGATAAATTGTTGGACATACTTTTGGGTAGGAAGTTTTCATTAGTTAAGTAGTTCTGAAACAGAATTATCATCAGACTTTAAAAAATTTTCAGCATCTCTTCCTTCGTTAGATATTTTCTTCCAACCCTTCTATGCGATTTGATAAGCAAGTCAGAACAACAAAACTATCCAAATGTACATTTTTGTCTACAGAAAAATAACATTTCTAACCCAGAGGAAATGTGCAGAATTGTGGCGTGCAAAAATTCCAAGCAGGTGTTTTATTCCTCTCCTCCTCCCCTTTCCACTCACTTCTGTGAAACATGCAATCATTCTTACCAAAAATACACTTGTTTATCTATTTTAATTGATATGTTCAAAATTACCAATAGCTGTAGTACTAGGTATATTGGCAAAAATAATTATCTAAAATGGACAAAAAAATATCATGTAACGTTTCGACGTGCAATGAACTGAAGTTGATCTGTTAGCACTATCCTTATCTTCAGGGCAGATGTTTTTATTTTATTTGGCTTATAATTCCTTACTAAATGTAATATTTCATCTCGATGTACTCAATCTTTGATATTATTTAAATCAAATTCCTTGTCATTATAAATATCACAAATACACATCAAATAGTTTTCTGGTTGCAATTTTCTAATTTCGACTATGCGTAATGTATGCTTTACACATGCGTGCATTGAAAGAAATGTTTAATAAAGTAAATAAATATTAAGCTTTTTTTGTAAATTTTGATACCCTTTAGATCATAATTGCTCTTTATTTCATAAATTATGGTTTCATATTTTTAATTTTATAATTTCTGCATGCCTTCTTACCAGATTAAAACTGATGATCTATAATCCGGAATCACCAAAGTTCCGACGAATCCGAATTAAAGACTTTTGACTGTATTGCTTTTCCATACAAGCCCAGCAATAGAGTTGGAGTGCAAAGAAGCATCAAGCAGATTTCATTCCACCAACCATAAAAATTAAATATATTAATAAATCAGAGCAAAATCTGCTTTTATTTAGTTGTTATTCATACATTTATTATGTCTTATTTTGTTTTAATATCTTTTATTCTTTTTACAGTTGTGTGGGGCGAATGTAACCACTCCTTTCACAATTGCTGTATGTCTCTATGGGTGAAACAGAATAACAGATGTCCCTTGTGCCAGCAAGACTGGCTTGTTCAAAGAATAGGAAAATGATTTCAGCTGTACTTGATGGCAATTTTGTATTTATTATACACTATGTAAATAGTCATTATTTTTAATGCTTTTAGTTGAGATTTATCTGATTGTGTAAAAAAAAAAAAAAAAAAAAATGCTATGAATAAATCTGTTAGAACAATTTTTAAAGGTTATGTATTGGCTAATTGTTATGTTACAAGAAAAGTCTATTAATCACATTTTCATAATGATCTATGAATTAATCATTAATACTTCTGTTCTTAAAATGTATTCCAACTGGAAGCACATCAAAAAAAGGAATTAAGCAGTATTTCAAACAGAAATAATAGTCAAAGACAATTTCTTTTCACTACAGTAGGGTGGGCTTAAACTCACTGTCGGTATTCTTAAATACAATCCAAATGCGTCTTGCATCTAATCAACAAAAATATTGATTAATAATGTAAAAGACTTTACTTCTATTCTAGCTTGAAATGAATCAAATATGTTCTAAAACCACTTGGTATAGTTTCACTCAGCGACACTTCTTAAAACAAAAGCATACATAGCTTTCAGAAAATCTGATTAGTTTACAGGATCTAAACTGTTGAATTACTACTTTGCTTGCAAGTTAATATTTTATAAAACTGGAAAACCGTTATTATATACTTACTGGAAAATATATTTAACGCTCTTAATTAATTGAGCTACTGTAATTTTGTGAGGTCCAGCTAATAATTAAAATTAATCTGCTTTTCAATTTCTCAGTTTGTTAACTAATAGATTCAAAGAAAAATTAATTACTATCTTATACTTTGTTGAACGATTACACACTTCTGCATGGAAGATAAAAATATTTTAATCGGGCAGCGGCAACACATTTCTTTCAGTTACTGAGCTTGTTGATTAAATTCAAGACTTTTGCTTAGTGACAACACACTTTTTTTATATTGCATAGTTTTTTATTAAATTTGAAATGTATCTTTTGTATTGCCGAGTTTTTAAAATAAAAGTTCCTTAACATCTTTGCTTGCGACATCATGTGAATGAAGTTTCTTCACGTGCCCATAATTTTGGAGTGCTGAACATCATTACGTGCTCCAGCACATTTTGCAATTACGCCTAGCATACAAAAATCTCTAAATATTTTGATTCTTGCATATGTTATTTCTGATTACATAAACAGAAGATACTAATACTAAAAAAAATATTCAGATTAATTTAAATTGCAATACAGTCGAATCCGGTTAATTAGACCACCAGATAATCGGACCAGCCGCTTTTTCGAAATGAATCCTAAAGAACCGAAAAAAAATCCTATGTACATAAGTCGTAATATTATTTGCTTATTTGGACCAAAATTCCGTTTAATCGGACCCAAAAACATGAGAGCGAATAAGAAATAGAAGCCACAAATGCGGCCGACTTGTGGCTTGGCATGTACAGGTGGTCCGCAACATATGGAAGGATCTGTAGCTGTGCTTCCCAAGAGAATGCTTTATCAAAGGTCAGGAATTCCTTAAAATGCATTACAAGAGCAAAATCAGTGGGAAGTGAACACATGCACCATTTTCTTTGATCTTTCTTAAAACACAGCCACCAGTGAGGTTATTAGTCCCACTGCGTCTCCGATTTTCGAGGAAATGAATAGAGTTTTTGGCTCCACCTGAAAGGAATTCCTGTCTGTTAATCATGATTAAAGTTTATCCGAGAAAGCTGTCATTTCATCACTCTTTTGGGATGATTTTAGTGCCAAAGCTTTAAATGGCGAGCATTTTATCTTTCTCTTGACCCCGAAACACCTAAACTGTGCACGTCTTGTCTTCCCTGCCAAAATGCAGTACTTGACGGACTCGACGTTAGCTGAAAAAATTGGTTTCCTGAACAAGATCAAGCAAAAACCACAAAACACTAGTCAGCGTCTGTTGGTGAAAATTACTGGATTGGCAAAGACAACAATTCTGCGCTTGATAAAACAAGAGATTGCTTGAAGAACATCCAACTGGAATTTCTACCTCCTAGAATCACAGCTTTGGTCCAGTCAATGGACATGGGCATCATCAAAAATTTAAAGACCCTTTATCGTGCAAGGTTGGTTAATTACATTCCTGAAGCAACTGAAGAAAGTTTGCTGACCTCATCGTCAAAAGCCAACGAAATCAGTGCAGGTACATTTGTGACCGACAGCTGGTGAAAAGTGTGCAGTGAGACAATTCAGAACTTTTTTTCTCACTGTGGTTTTAAACACTTGGTTTTGTAGATGGATGTGGACATTCTCTTTGAAAGTGAAAATGATGATGGACGTGTGGAACTTCAACAGGTACAAAATTGCAAAGAATTTTTATCCATCGAAAACTAGCTTCAGTGCTACGATGAAAATGAAGATTATGACGCTGCAATCGTTGCAGCAAAACACGACACGTTGACAGTGATGATGATGATACCGCTAATTAATAAGTTGGTTAAGTGACAACACAGGATGTGAGGAAATGCATTGAAACTTTGTGTCCGTATTCCATTGCTGTGTTAGATGTTTGCGGCGATTTCGTTCACGTGCAATCCATCAACAAAACACGTCAGATCACATTGGGTAAGTTCTTCAAATGTTGACTGAAACTTTTTTCTATTGTGCTTCGCATGCTGAGGGTCATGGAGATTGTTTCTTAGAATTTGTTTCTAAGTTAATTTTCTCAATAAAAAAGTTCGACTGTAGTTCTTGTTTGTACATGTATGTTCACCAGACATGTGTGCCACACAATAAAGGTCATAATTACATTTTAGTACATGATTTACATGTACATTTACTGTTTGCGACATATAGCACATCCTGTCTTACAATGTAGGACATGTTCATGTAATCGGACCAGCCGGTTATTAGGACCAAAACGATCGCTTCGCAGTGTGGTCCAATTAACCAGAATCAACTGCAGTAGTAATAATAATTATATTCCCATATTTAAATTATTTCTGTACAATAATAAAGTATCAGTGCAGATTATATCCTGTTGCCATATTTAATTGCACTCTTGCACAATGTGAAACATTTCTAAATTATAAACACCTTCTTAGCATCGTGCATTTTACTTTTATAGAGTAAAATAATAAATCATAACAAATGCTAACACTCTAGAGACTCTGTTCAGTAAGTTTCCACAGCTTTCTGACATAATTTTTAAGCATTTAAAATAAATGTTCAGTTTCAGCATATCAAATATAATATGCTGGGCCATCAGTGATACTTTGCTCCTGTATCACACTTGATACAGTAGTGGGCTCATGGACAAAAACTGGGTCAAATCATATATGATGTACTGGAAAAGGTTAAATTTGAAATAAATTAAAAAACAAGTTTAAAATTTAGGCTTTGAGGTGCACGTTTGAATGGATTATACAAGCTTAAAATTTTGAAGTCCTGGATGCTGCCGTTTTCCCACAATGCAAGGAACATACTATTATGAAAAGTACAAGTGCAGTAAGATGGCTTTCCTTGCAAAGCAGTTTTAGGGTTGCCATATTTGGCGAGAAATTGCCCATTTGGCGACAAAATTGGTGATATACCATGGACGGATGGAAAACCTTCTGGAATGAATTCTTACTGGTTTAGCCCAGAATGCTCTCGAGCACAAGCCGAAAGTTATATAAACCCTGCTGCCCCACGGTCAGTTACTGACAGTCAGTATTGAGTTGGTGTCTCGTCGATCGAGTTGACAGCCAGGCAACGAGTGCCGAGTGGGTCGTCGAGTGCACCGAAATAATATAATATTTTGTTAGTTTTACTAAATAATTTGTATTAGCATTTCATGACATTTAGATAATTCTACTGTTTATTATGCTGATACTATACTGTGCTTTGTTAACAGTGAAGCTCCATCATGTCCGAGAAGATGACTATGAAAAATAGTTAGTTGACATCAGACAATATAAAAAATGTAATGACTTTAAATTACTGCAAATAATGTTACAATAAAATTTTATTACTTTAATGATGGTGCCTTAAAACAGTGCTTCTTGATGTTTTCAAAGTCGAAAATTAACAACCATTTTTTTTTTTTAAATCGTAATTTTTAAAAACTTTTCAGAGCCAGTTAGGCATTTATAGTTTGTTGACCTGAGGCCTCATTTACCTATCCTTGTTCGGACTATGTTAACATAGAAGAAAACTGATAAATTTAAATACTCCTCAATATGTGCATATTTTTGGCAATGATGCTATTTTATGACACTTCTATTTCATGAACAAAGGAAAATGGACATTAGAATGTTGATCTTTTCATAAGTTGCCTAATACCTCAAATCGAATTCTTCTGACATTTTCTATTTTTGAATACAAAATATGAAAAGAAACTTACAGAATACACGCATATGATGTATCCAAACAGAAATAATGAAATCTAATGCCACCATGCAGTATTTAAGATATGCAAAGGTTGCCAACAAATGTTTTCTCCATTCTTCTCAATCTGTGTGACTTTACAGGAGTAACTGGAACCATTAAAATTTACTCAAGGTTATGATTAGTTAATATCTAAACTATTTTTAAATATTTATAAAACAGATCAAAGTGAAGATTTTTACTAAAACAGTGACATGGATAGGATACAGAAATTAAATGTTATTGTTCCATTTCCAATAGACATTCAGCTTAATTTTAAATCTAATTTTATATTATGAATATACAAAGTATATTTTTAGACTTATTATTCTGAAATTTAGCAGTTGCTTTAAAAGTCTAATTTTTCTTGATCCTTACTTTCACCATCGTCGTACACTTTTTAAGCATTTAGAACATCGCAGTTATGGGTATGCAGTTATTCTGAATGGGTTAAGAACCACATTCTTAACCCATTCAGAATAAACATGTCTATGTGCATTGCAGTAAACATTATCTCACGGCCAGGTGTGTCATATGTGAATTGCCATTTAATTCACTATGTGGCCAGGTGTACCACATATAACTTTTTAGATAGAACATTTAATTAGTATTTTTTATTGTCACTAGATGTAGCTGTATGTCTCTTATGTTGAAATTTATGGAAAGTAAAGCATGTTTTCTATTTCGGAATGAGAGTGAGATTCGTGAGTGTTGAGCGATGTATTCGCTCTTTAACCGAGTCAGTAATGCACATGTAATGGATGCTTTGGAATAGTGGGGTAGATCTTCTATCTTTTTAGAGGTTTTATTTATTGTTCTTAAACACTTTTTTCCTATCATTAAGATGGATATTTTTTATGGCTTAGTGAAGTGTTTTTACACCTAACTAGCAAAACGAAAACAGTATTTAACACAAGAAGAATATATATATATGAATGATAAATCAGTCTTTCTCATACTTGATGACAATGGTGATATTTTTGCAGAATTGGATAATAATAGCTATTCTAATATGGACATATTTATTTGAAGCACATAAAGATTTATGCTTGCTGGTTTTTTATGAAAGATATTTTTAATAATTTTTATTTTTATTAATGTATTGTATTAAATAAAATCTGTGATTGGATGTTTTTGCCATATATTAAGTTGAGGTAAGTCAAAAATTATATTACTCTCGAATTAATTATTTTCTAAAAAATTTTTAAGAAAATACAATGATAAATTTTAAAATTAGTGCTGACAGCTACTGAATGCTCCAACTGCCCAGACAGTAAGGGAACTAACTGCAATACCAAAGGGCTCCTGAATTAAGGCACGGATGTTAATTGTCTTTTCCCTCATAGGAGGTCATGGTGACCACTTGTTAGGAGCCTCCATAATAAAATGACCAGCACTTCTGGCCACACTGAACTATCCAACAGGAACATGTTAAATAATCAAGAATCTGTTTGTATGCAATGAAAGCAAATTTTAGAAGTACTGATATAAAAACACAGACATAGAAGCATAGCAATGTTGTTTGGCATAGATTCTTGATGCTTAGGGCTTCAACCCATACTAAAAAGAAAGAAGTCAAGCCTGATTAAATTCCATTTTTATTTCAATTCACATTTGTGGGCATAATTTATTTGGCACTCTAATTGTACTTTTTTTTTTTTTTTTTTTTCAGAACATATATTTTTTTATACTGTGGCAATAGGAAGTGAGCACAGCGAAGCGTCTAAGCAGCACAGAAGTTGAAGCTTAAATTGACGCATTTATCCATTATAGTAGCCTGTTAAGAGAGGTTTCAGTTCTCAGAGTTTACATTCTTAATTACAACATCAACAGCGTTATGCAAAATTGGTGGCGCAGATTAATCTAGAAACAAAGCAGTCCAGAAATGTTATTTTTAGAATAAAGAAACGAAATACCCAAAATAAAAATGAGGAATTAAGAGGCTAGATTTAAGTTAAATTATAAAGCTGATTTACGTATTTTTTTATCTTGCATATATATTCTTCACATGGAAGAGGGGGAGGGAAAAAAAAAAAAAAAAAACCGACAGCAGCTAGAAGCCATCAAATTTTGAATATGTGTAGCCTTTCAATAAAATATGCGAACATCGAAGCAAAAAAAAAAAAAATTGTTATTTATTTTATTTTATTTATTTATTTATTTTTTTTGTAAATTTAGTGAAACTCGAATAAACTGAGCGATCTTAAAGACTATGTACTGCCACTCAACAAAGCAGATATTTATGTTTTCATTGTAATCAGGAAAGTCGGCAAAAAGCAGTAAAAAACACATTGCCACTCCATAAAGTGCAAGACCAAATTCTTTCAAATTTAATCTACTCTGAAATAAAACATTTTTATCTTCTATGATCCTGTAATGTTTTCATTCATAAAAGTAAAAAATTCAATTTTTCTTCCACATTTGAATCTGAGTATTATTGATAAACCCACTAAATGATTTAAAATCAGTTCCTCATCTCTATTATTATTAATAACTAGCTCAATTTATTAAAGTCATAATATATTTTTCTTTTTTATAATACGTACTTTAGGCAGCTGGCTGTACAAAGCAACTAGTAACATAAAAATGACAGTATTCTATTTCATGTTAATAGCCCAGTTAGATCAAGTTATTTCACTATATTAATAGTATCAAAGCTGAAATGCAATGAATTTGCAGAATACAAATTTCATATCATAGACTTTAGAGGTGTACATGTTAAGAAACGGAAACAATCTTAAGTTTACTCTCTCTCTTTTCTTTTGTTTTAAACATTTCTTAGGTCAACATAGAACAATATACCATGAATTTTTACATACAATTTTATACATCATAATCATCATCACCTTCACCCTTTCTCTTAGTTCCATTAGTAACTTACACTGAATACTTTGTCCATCATAGAGTTCATAATACCACAAGTTGGCATTAATACCTGAGGAGAAGATGTAGAACGTGAAGCAATACCACAAGCTGGCAAAAAAAATTTCTTTTCACATTGCTCATTTCAACATAAAACATAGAACAATATACCATGAATTTTAACATACAATTTTATACATCATAATCATCATCACCTTCACCCTTTCTCTTAGTTCCATTAGTAACTTACACTGAATACTTTGTCCATCATAGAGTTCATAACACCACAAGTTGGCATTAATACCTGAGGAGAAGATGTAGAACGTGAAGCAATACCACAAGCTGGCAAAAAAAATTTCTTTTCACATTGCTCATTTCAACATAAAACATAGAACAATATACCATGAATTTTAACATATACTTTTTATACATCATAATCATCATCATCTTCTTCACGCTTTCTCTTAGTTCCATTAGTAGCTTCCACTGAACACTTTGCATCCATCATTGAGTTCATAATACCACAAGTTGGCATTAATATCTGAGGTGAAGATGTAGAACTTGGAGCAATACCACAAGTTGGCATTAATATCTGAGGTGATGATGTAGAACTTGGAGCAGTAGATATTGAGGTAGATACAGGTGACAGAGCGGACGAAGATGTAACCATTCTATTTGCTGAAAGAAAATAAAAATATATCAATTATTTAAAGTGTGTATGTATGTAGGTATGTGTATATACACACATGTTACTGTGAAAGACCGAGATTTGGAAAATGTCGACATTCACCAACATTCACATAGTCGCTTGGTGCATGTCCAAAATATTTGCCAAATATCCTTATTTCTGACTTACACTGGCAAATGTCGACATTCACTATGCACTAATGGTTAATGTTGAATACGTTGGAGATTTGCATTTTGTTCTCCATATTTCAGGTGCAATAAAACTTCAAGGGTGATGTAACGTTTTCGCCTGTCTTGCTGACAGGATTACCCAATCCCTGGTGAGAAGAGTTGTTTGTAACTCTATAGAGGTGTTTCAATGCGTGACATGTAGCTTTTGATTCTAATGCGAGAAGGGCTACTTGATATTACTTGACTTCTTAATAATGACAGCAGTTGTGCTTGGATAAATGTTAAGCATTTAGTTTTAAATTTAGTAAATAAAGAACTTTTTTTTTACTTTTGCATTTATACCGTATATGTCATGATATGAAAATGTTTAAGTAACAGCACATGTAAATAATCTTTTGAACTTAAACAATACATTCTAAATGAGAAAAAAAAATAATACAAAAAAAAAAAAAAAAAAAAAAAAAAAAAACTTAATTATGTGACTGAAATTTTATTTATTGCAACAACATAAACTTTTATGACATTTTGAACTGCACAAGAGCCCCTTGCTTTTACAACTGCATTTAGTTGTGGAACACTTTCTTTTGCAGTGACAGCATGTATAACCTTGCTCTCTACTTCTCAAATTAGCTGCAGCTGCTTCTATCAGCAACATTACTTAAGAAGGAATCTCATCTACGGAAAATAACTTTTCTTTACAAATTACGAACTGATTACAGGTATAAAACTGCTTGAAGGTGTCATTTTTATTTGGCAGTTTATAAAAGCTGAAGTCTATTCCATCAACAACTGCCAACACATTTCGGTCATCTGTACGACCACGGTTGACATCAGGGACTTCTATTCGTATAGTATCACCAATTTGAGCAGAAGAAATATTCATAACATTTTTGTTGCTTGCAGTAAAAGATTCTCTTTCGCGGCCTATATTTTTATAGAAATTAACACTGTGTTGTTCAGTCCAGGCTGTACATTGCAGGTCCTCCTCAATATTTTCTTTGGAATATGGTCTTCGGTATGGATACTGCTCTGATTTTCTTCAAAAGTATTAAGTTTCTACAAGTTGTCCTTCAGTTTCAAAAATATTAGAAATTTCTTAAGAGTTGTTCTTCGGTTTCAATATTTGTGATTTGTTTGCCAGGCCAAAAAAGATGATGCTATGCCTCTTTTTCATTTAATACCAAACATAGCTTCATAAGGAGTAATAAATCCTGGTGAGGAGAGGTGTGTTTGAAAGATAAAAACAATTGTCTTCTCGTTTACTCGCAATTAATGCATTTTTAAGTTTTCAAGGAAAAGTTCACGATTCACTGCAGTATCCATTCAACATAAATTAGGGTATTGGATAAAAAAAAAAAAAAAATATTAAGAAAACGTTGCGCATACCATCAAACCTATCACAGGACTGACAAACAGTGTTCCAGAGTATAACAAATGCGTGCTACATAACTTCAATCGCTGCAGAGCAAAGGGTTTGGCGACAGACAGTCGCCCCTCTGTTGAACTCGACTTGTTTCGTGTTGTGTTTCGTTCTCCTGGTTCATTTGAGATAAAAAATTTAATAATTTAATAATTAAAATAACGATTCATACCACTATGATATTCCCTTCAAATTATTATTATACAAACTAAAACTACAGCTTATTACATAAGCTGCAATTAACAAACCAAAAAGGTTACGTTTGGACATGCCTGGTCTATGCATTTATTAATCTGACATGATTATTAGAATAAAAGTTACTAGATTAAATAACATTTTTTATATTGCACTGCAATTTGTTTTCCAAAAACTGTAAAAATTTTAATTTGAAGGCATTTTAAATTAATTTATATTTTTAGAAAATCATTTATTTAAAAAAATGTAGTATGACATCATTAATTAAATGAACTATGTAACACTTTTTTCTAATAATATTTGATAATAACTGTTGTCCTTGATTGTTAAAAATACTTAGCACTCCTTATAAATATTTATGGTCACTAAAAACCAAATGCTTTAATATCCAGATTTTTCCATGTTGCCAATAAGTTTTTCAACAGGAATTACAAATGATTTCTATAAATTAAATTTGCTAGTTACATAGCTTCCCTGCATTAAAAAGCACACTTATGCAGTTACATAACATACAAAAGTTAGGACCATAAGTTATATAAAAGTTAATCTTTAGTAAGTTTTACAACCTTGAATTATATTAAATCAAATCTAGAAAATTAATTCCTCACAAATTCAGCCCTCCATACATTTATAACAATTTACAAATATCAGTTAATCTCTCTTCTGTTATTACCATTACTAAAAATATACGACAATCAGAAATATTCAATCTAATCAGAACATTAGCAATTCCTTTCAAAATTAAATCCATTATTTAGTTCATTCATTCATTATTAATTAATTCAAAATAAAAATTTTGGTTTTATCAGTAACCAAAATTCCTGAGGAGAAAATCTATGTTTAGGTGTTATTTAAAAAAAAATCTTTTTAAATGCTGTATTTTAACGGAAATGTAATAAATAAATAAACTTTGTCAAAAAATACAAATCTATATTTAAAAAAGTTGTGTTATCCTTATTTTTAAAAACTGACATGGTTCAATCCTTTCTTGGAAGAATGCAAAAGCTGCATTTTCATTTGACAGCAAATTGAAAATTGTCATCTTTGTTCTGGGAGGGAGAGGCACAATTTCTCACAAATGGAAAAAACAATGTCATAATTCTTATTACTTGGTTTTATTAAAAAGTTTGGCAATAGATCTGCCAAAATTGGTGAACTGATGATTAAATGCTGGTCACTAGTAAAATCAACAAGTACCCATAGATGTTACTGAAATAGTACTGAATACTTTTCAATCTCATTACTTATTTGTTTGACATATACTCTAACAAATGATAAATTACTTAAAAATAGCTTACCAAGAGCAAATTCTGGAATTAATTTTATTAAATTTATTTAGAAAGTAGTTATACTATTTTCAGTTAAAACTCATTGAAATATTTAAAATATTAAACAATATTTATATATTTGTTAAATAAAAGGAAGTAAATTAGTCACAGTCTGAGAATAAAAGATTTACCATCAGAAAATTTTATGATAGGTGTTGGTACTGATTTTGGAATAGTTGTTGCTGGTCTTGTAATAAGAGAAGCTGCAGGTGAGGCATTTGCTTTGGTAACTACTGACAGTGCTGGTGTTTGCTTGTTCATAGTCATTGGAGTACTACTTTTATTAACTGAAAAAAGAAATTAAAAAATATATTACAATTTATATTATGTATATACATATGCACACGTGTTCAAAATATATAAAGACATAAACTAAAAAATTTAGCCTTCAAGGTGCAGGATTATTTTTATTTTAAAACTAATAATAATGTAATAAAATTATCTAGTTCCTCTATACATTTAGAGTTTAATTACCTGGCACTGTAACTTAAAATTATCAATCTCAACTTCCCGATTTAAAGATGTTAATTCCTATTTAATATGGCTATTTTATGAAAAATATTTCAATTATGCTCTATTCTAAAATATTTTTGGGATTGAGACTTCAATTACATCTTTGCTGATTTTTTTTTAAACAGAATTAAAATTTTTAAAAATAAATATTAGATTGAGAAGTGAAACCTTTTACTTAGAATCATAGATACTATTCTGTCAGAGCAGCGTCAGTTAAAAATGAAGATAAAATGAGAAAAAAACAATTCTACAAGATCATCCCAAATATTGAGGCTCAAGAATTTCACATCTGAAATATCATCACACATTTCTTTCCCCATATTTCACCATTTGTTCTAGTACAATAGACTACACAATTAAGAAATTACCTAATGACAAAGAGGCTGACATAAGATTCCTTCAGGACAAAGAAATTGTTCTCAAAATCTTTCGATGAAGTTAAAACATGGTTTAAAGGCTGGCACCTTTCTTTACTCAATGCCATTTGTCTTATCTATCTGTGGTGTCAGGAATTGACGTTGATTGAATTTTGCAAACTTCAATTAGAAATCAGCCATAATACGGCAGTAGATTGGAATAACTAATTGAGGGAGGTCTATGATAATAGTTTGATGTCTCGTAAAAGAAATAAAATTGATTTAACCAACAAAGTCGTAAAAATAAAATAAAGTCTTTTCACAAAAAGAAAAAAAACAACTTTGGATATACTCTTCTGGAGTAACAGGTACTTGGGGGTTTACGCAGGGAAAGCAAAGAATGTTTTTTCTGGTCGCTTTTCCAAATCATTGTGCAACAACATTAATGACAGCAATTCAGGAAAACATCACAGATGGTAGCATTATATTTTCAGACTGCTGGAAAGATTATAAGAAAGAGTAATTAAGAAATGTTGGGTATGAATATTTTCACTGTGAATTATAATTTTGTAGACTTGAAACTGGATGCCATATTGAAACTGTGGAATGATTGTAAGGCAGTGCTAAATGCAGAAGTAAGTGACAGCAAGGCCTGTTCGCCACCATTTAGAGCCATACTTGATAGAATTTATATGATGTCAGTTATATTTAAAAACTCAATTTTTTCTGTAGTATATTGAAAAATGCAAAAGAAAAGTCTACTTTGAGAATTATGAAATTAAACCAAAAATTTACTTTTTACAAAAGTAATTTTTTTAGTCTTTTGAAATCTATTATTATTTTATAATTTTAAACTTGGCAACAATTGGTGACAAAAAAAAGTGGCACATTTTTAACTGACGCCACTCTAACGGAATAGTACTAAATCATATACAGTCAAAAGTTGTTAATTCAGATACCCATAATCCGGAATGATCTATAATCCGGACATCAAAGCTACAAACTTTCCGCGCATGCATCACGTTGACGCATGCGCGTAAGACCTTTACGGCTGCCCATATGCTTCTGCGAATGCTCAAAATACGTGTACGCATGCGTGTTTAATGTATAATGGACAGTATAAGCTAAAATTATCTAATTATTTATTTCAGTTAATGTTGCAGATTGCGTTGCTCCTTAATCTTCTAATTGGATCCGGCTTATTATTTTTTGCAGATTGTTAGAGCAATTTTATAAAAGTAAGCTTGAACTTTCGATTATGTCAAACAGAATTTCCGATGCTGGAGCTGCTAAATCATCTACAAAGCAAAAGTATGTTTCGATGTCCATCAAACAAAACGTGGAATTGCTGCAAAAAATGGAAAAAGGCATATCCTTTGTTTCTCTAACCCTTCCGAAATCTGTTTATCAATTTCACGCTGCTCTACGGGGGAGGGGAAACGTCGCGGCGCACAATGAATTGGAAGTTGATTTATCAGCACTACCCTTATCATCAGGGCAGATGTTTTTATTTTATTTCGGCTTATAATTCATTAACTAAATGTAGCATTTCATCTCGATGTACTCCGTCTTTGATATTATTTAAATGAAATTCCTCGTCATTATAATTCACTTCCGATAGTGAAGAAAGTGACACAGAAGTTATTGAAAACAAAAAAATTTCAATTGACAAAATTAGTTGGTATTCTTGCACAGCATTATAGCACTTGAACAGTGGAACTTTGTAACTGAACAAGAAATTATGTCTGTTTTATAGAATTAAAGAGAAAGTATTATCACATAAATGAAGCAACTTAAACAACTTACATTGAAAGAAAGGTTAAATAATAAAGTAAACAATAAATATTAAGCTTTTATATATATATATATATATATATATTATTATATACTGTTTAGATCATAATTGCTCTTTATTTCATAAATTATGGTTTCATATTTTTAATTTTATAATGTCTGCATGCCATCTTACCAGATTTAAACTGATGATCTATAATCCGGAAAAATCGATAATCCGGAATCGGCAAAGTCCCGACGAGTCCGGATTAACGACTTTTGACTGTATAAATATGATTACCTTGTATACGATTACCTTGGCCTTAAAATCATCCACCTTAAAGTAAAAAAGCCTCTTGATTGATAAAAAAAAAGACAATTTAATTTTCCTACCATTAACTCATACACTGGAATTCCACTTTTTCCAGAAACGTTATTGCTAAGACCATTATCAACCAGATTCTAAGAATTATAAATATTTGCACTACAGATGAAAACATTAACCAAGAAATTCATCATCTTATAATTACACTAACTGATAATAAAATTACACTCAAGTTTATTAACTACTTCTATAAAATTTACACATCAGGTCATTTTAATTTTAACCTTTTAACTGTCATGCTCAAAATAATCTCTGGCACAGCAGAATGTCATGCCCAAGTACTACTCAGGGTAAATTTTTTTTTTTTTTTTTTTCATCATAACAACATATTCTCAAACATATATAATGGAAAGATTTTTTTTGGCTTCAGTTTAATAGATGGCAGCACTTTAGTGAAGATTTCGAAAAATAAAGTTTAATATTCAAAGTGCGCAGCACTTTTTTTGTTGTAAAATGCCGTCCAGTTCTTTGAAATGTTATATAGATGATTTAGATTCTGCAACCCATACTCCTCCTACTCCTGCGAAACGTGAGCCTACAAGATAGTGCAAAGTTTGTTGTTCAAAAAAGGATGAAAACGGGAAAAAGATCAGGAAGAAACACGATTCTGGTGTACTGATTGTGGAGTTGGTACTTGGAAATGTGTTTCCAATTATACCACAGAAAACTGAAATACTACTAATAGGCATTCATTTTTATTTATTTATTTATTTAGAAAATAATGCTCCACTAGAAGGGAACTTTACCACTGCCACACTCAGTGGCAGCTGACTCAAGAGAATATGCAATGGCTAAAAAACCTTAAAATGTTTATGCATGCAATTCAAAATATCAGTTTTTATTTTTAAGTATATTTTATTTTGCAATAAACACTTGATTTTTACAATAAAAAAATTGACAATTTATGTACCCAAATCATCAAAATAACTTGACAGTTAAGATCAATTCATACTTGCCAACCTATGACATTCAAAAATCAGGTGAATTTTCTCAATGATAAATATATATATACATATTTTAGTAATGAATTAACTTAGTACAAAAATACCTGCATGTAAACATTTTTATTATTTACACTTTTTTGATAGAAAAATAACACTTTAATTAGTTTTTGTACACATGCTATGACCAATGGCAGATTTTGCTTTCATTAACCCTTTAAAGGGCTTGTCAATTTTTTAACCCCAAAAAATGCTAATTTTTCTACACTAAAAGATGTTATCATACGTTTCTAGTGTTTCCTTTTGATTCTAAATGGCAGCACTACCCTTTGAATGCTCTTGCAACTATGAAATTAATACACCTCGTTCCAAGGTATCATGCTTGAAGATTCATAAATTCTACTGGAGGGGAAGAAAAAATTCAAAATCTTCAAATATACGATGTACACGTGCTGAATCTTATGTACTTACTTTATTTTAGTCAGAAGTGATAATTAACAGAAGAATATTTATACGATTTTAAAACCAGTATATGATATATATATATATATATATATACCAACGCCTATACTGAGGGTACCAAGGCAATAGATGGCAGCACCAGTCTTCTCCTTTTCTACTCTGTGAGATGACAGAATTTTTTCATATTATAACAGTTTGTGATGTAATAATTTTTTATGATTAATTTATGAGTTGTTTAGGATTCAAAATTATACTCATGAGGGCATGGAGAGTTTACTGATCCTGTGCTAGGACTGGATAAAAGTATATTAGCTTCTTTTTATTCTTTGTTTACTCCACTCAAGTTTCATTTGTCTCTGTTTAGCTAAAATTTTAATTTCAGCACTTCATCCTTTCCCACTCATTGATTTCAAAATTGCCGTCTGGCATCAAAACATTACACAAATGTAAGGGTTAAATGTGGCATGTTAGCCTCGAAATACACCCGTTGCTTCGTGTTTTCCAAAATACTAGAATGCAGCAAAAATGAAAAGAGGTGATTGACAACTAATTTGTCATTCGGGGGGGGGATCCACACCTTTTTCCCTTTGTGTGATTCTTATGGTCCTTGATAATCTAAAATGTGGGGAAGGGGATGTAGCACGGTATCATAGCATGAAGCATAGTCCTTTTTTATATAGTATCTAAAGCATAAATTATAATAACTTCAAAATTGCAACACACTTTCTCAGCTGAGTTATAGTGTTACATTTTTCAATTTTTTATTTTTCAGTTCAGTTACATCTCCTTGTAACATTACACTAGTTCAGTTACAGCATGATACGGCTTATGCATGCAGAGTTACATTTGCTAAATTTTTTCAGAAAATAATATCGAATTTAAATCAAGTTCAAAAGTTTTTTACCCACATTTTACATAAGTATGTTCAGCTGGGTTGCATCATCAAAGTGCATAAAAACATAAATTTTATTTTTTAAATTTTAAATTTCTAACAAAATTTTAAAAGTTTTCGTCTTTAGACTTAACATAACTATATTCAAGCGCCCACACAAATGCACATCAAAAGTACCAAAAATTAACAATTGGCAGCTAACTGGAAAATATTGTCTTGGGCACCGGTATAAAATATATACCAGTTCTCAAAATTCAGGATTTTGCTCTAGTTTTTTTTTTTTTTTTTTTCCCCTCCCCTCAACTTTGTGTTTTTAGGATCCATAAGTTACAATTCATACAACGTTTTACCACAGTTTAAACTATTTTATATACCGCCCCTCAAAGGGTTAAGAAACTTCATAATTTTATTCATAGCAATTGCCACATAAGCCTGCTTTTGCTAGTAAAAGTTTTCCTAATGTGTCATTACTAATTTTGGTTCTAAATTTAATTCTTGTTTTAGTAACTATACAGAAAATCCTCTCATACTCTGCATTACTAGGGGTAATTGTCAGCATGGTCAAAATTATTCTAGACAGTTCACTGTACTTCAAAACTCCTTTCCAATTAATCTCCATTGTGTGTCAATCCTTGTATGTTTTATAACCTTTCCCAAGTTTTCTATCATAATTTTTTATGTTAGAAAACTGCATCTCCAGCTTATGAAATGCAACATCAACACAACCAGCCTTTCAAAAGTAAATAAAGTAAAATTTCAAATTTATTCCTCACATTAGAAAAAGATGCATTTGCTAAATTAAAAAATTCTGCAACTTTAGCATGTATAATCACTTCACTGTTGATTGGAAATTTATGTAGCATGTAATCAAATATTCGACAGAAATAAAACTTATTTTTGTGTTCCTCCAAAATTTACTACTTTGTTAGTTACCTTTGAGTCTTCATTTGTGTATTAGTAATTAGGTATTACCAGAGACAAAAGCTTGCAAACCAGAAAAAATAACTTCTGCAAATAGCCATTACCCTTTGAGAATAATCAATTAGAATTATTAATTTATAACATCGAAATTACAATATTATTTTCCAGTAGGTATAATATTACCTCCCTCTCAAAGAAAAGGCAGAAAAAGTTGTTGAATATTACATAAATAACTAAATAAAGATATATGAATTACCTGTATTTTGAGGTAAACTAGCGATATTTAATCTGGAAACCGTATGCACAGTTCTTGTCTGAAAATAAATATATTGTTAAAATTAATTTTTTAAGTAAAATATTAATTAAATAGGTCTTAAATATTCATTCAGAAGAACAAAACAGATAAAAAAAGTACCACTCACTTTTTTTGTTGCTTGTTTTAAACGATAATTGCATGCTGTCAAACTGTAGCGGTCTGGTGGCAAACGCAAGCCAGCACTTGATTTAATAATTGGAAGAGCCATACTATTTCTCTGCCTTGCCATCTCAGCAGTGAGCTATGGAGGGTAACATAGAAAAAAATTTAACTGGAAATAACAATGTAAAAACTAAAAAATCTTCACTTTTAAAAGATATCTAAAAAATGATTATATGAAATATATATAAAAATTAATAATTATATATTTCCAAAGCATGGCAAGTTAAAACACAAATAAAATAATGTTCCACAAGCTAAATTACACAGAAACTACACTGATGCAGTGGCTACTTCAGTGCAATTTCTAGCTCGTGTAACAACATTTTATTGATCATCTTAATACTACGCTATTTAGTCTCCAAATTAAACATACTTCCCGAGCTGGAGGTGAAGTAAAATTCTTTTCTTGCTGAAGAGTAATTGCCAGTTTTACATCCTCAACTTCAATACCTTTCCTTTTAGCATGACTTGAGTATAACTGTGCGTCATCCAAAACATTAGTGACATATCCTGTTAAATGAAATAGTTTTTTAAATATGCTTTAGTCATAAAAATATTAGGAAACAATAAGAATACACATACTGGTCAAATAATTTGTCTATTTAATTACAACTTAAATACTTTAGCCACATTTCTTACATTTTACTTAACTCTTTGAAATCCAGACCCTTCGCTAACCTGTATCCTCAAAATACCAGACCGCCCGAAAAAGTTTTCCAGTTTCACAATATCCTCCCCTCCCCGTCCATTAATGCAGAAAATAGGTGTGAAGATTTCCAATGACATCCTTTGTACTTTTTAACAAATATTCCATTAGCCTTTGACACTGTTCTTTATAAAACTATTCTGAAGGTCAGACCAACAAGCCTTTCCGGCTTTCTGATCACGACTGAGATTTTTGTTATTTCTGTTATTTTTATAGGAAAATAAATTGTTTAAAATAAATATATCCTTAATTTTTAAACTGCTCTTTTTTTTGTTTAAGCTTAAAAGCACACGTGCCACAAAAGATCAACAAATAAATTCACAATCTACAAAAAAATAAAACTTCTTAGGCAAGCTTACTGATACCTTAGAAGGCGGAAGAAAACAAGATTACAATCTCGGCCGTTTTCGGGCGGTTCTGGTTGTTTCAATGTAGGGCCGTGTCGGGCGGATTGGATGTGAAGGAGTTAATGCATACCACATACCTTATTTTAAAATCTAATTTTTCTATAGAAAAAAAAATCATTACCTGTTAAATATAAAAGACATAACGATAACTTTCCTTTAGCAAGTACATCTTAGAAAAGCTTCATGCCAAACTGCAAAATGTAGCTAGATACTGTTTTCAAGATTTTTAATATTTAATAGTGGATACCAGATAAATTATTTAGACAATATTTTATCTTTTTTCTGAAGCATGATGCTAATGCAAAAATATTGATATTATTTTTAAGAAGTACACATATTACTTTTAAGATAATTAAGCAACATTCTGTTTCAATTAAATAAAATTAAAAATCTTAAGGAACATGAAATGGTAACACCTTTGAGAATTAATAATTTTCCAGATCACATGAATGATACATTTAATTATCTTTCTGGAATGCCAATAGTGGTAAAGTTAAATAACATGATATAAAGTAATTGAATAGAAGGCAAAAAAGGCAGATTAACCCTCAGCTGGAGGGGCTGGCGTATGGTACAATTTTAGAGGGGCGGCGTATGAAGTACGCCAAGTCATTGTTCGAGCCTCTGCTTCATGTTTGAAACTATTTAATCTTATACGTGCCTTCTAAGGTGATCGTCATAGTAAAATGATATAGAAAAAGAATAAGAAAAAATTAATTCAAATTATAATTTCAAAAGATGAAATTAAATTTTTAATTAAGTCAAAAAATGACTGGAAATGACTGAAAACAAAATTCAAATGTAATTTAAATTTAGAGTAATTTGTATATTTTATGTATGAAATTAAAGATCATGAATCAAATTTACAAATTAAAATTCCAAAGTTCGGTAAGTAATAAATTTCCAAATGAAACATTAAAAACCTTTTGCTACTTTAATCCTCTTTGATGGGATTTAGTGCCAGGGTTTGCAAAGTGTACTGTCTTCCCAAATAAATTTTGCAGGTAACGTAGAACACTCGAATTTTTATAGAAGTTGTAATTATTCTTCATTTCTAATTCGCCTCAGCGCCGCGTCCTTTGATCGTTTTTTTCAGGTATCCTCGTCCCTTTCGGCCCAGCTTGTTGCTCCGGTTGTTACCACCTTCTAATAGCTTTGGATGCGACAGGAAATGGCATTTCAGGCATTTGAGATGTGGTTCATCAAAGATGTAGCTAGATTTTTCAAAAATTTCTTCTAAACTTGATGGTTCATCTGTTTTTGCAAAGTTCAAGAGCACTTTGCGAAGGCCCGCTCGTTTAGCAGTGCAAAATTATTGCATTGTTCCCCTCTTGTTTTTCCAGCGACATGAATCACGTCATACTGCTTCTCATTGAGATTGCTTTGAGATATCTCCTCCTTTTACCTTTGAGATAAAGATTTGTATATTGTCCGATAGCATCAATCATATTTGTATTTATGATTTCCTGGAAATCAGAAAACTCATAATTTCATATCGTCACAATTTTTGCACTTGGGAATATTTTTTTATTCATCAAATTTTTTTTCCGAGGCGTTCACGGCGAATTTATTCTTGAGGGAACTTTATTCCATTTATAGTTTCGTTTCTTCTTTAGAAACTCCTCACTTCTTCTATTTGTAAACTGTGTTTACAAAAGGCCGCATATTTTAAATCACTCATGTCAGTTTCATCATCACTAAATCGACACAAAACGTCCAAATTATGGAAAAGTGATTCAAAGCACGTAGATGCATATTGAAAGGAAGAATTCTGATTGCATACAATGCTAAAATGTAATCTGAATACAGCAAAAAAGGCATTCGAGTGGATAATTCAAATTATTAAATCCATTTGTGCCCGATTTTTTTTCCCCCCCACTTTCTTATGCCTATTTCAGAATATTTACAGTTTTGATATGACGTTGATGGGGAGACAAATAAATAGCATCCAAGAGCACGAGAGAAAGCCAAATGGTGCATGGAACCATAGGGAACTTACCACTATGGAGGTTTCGGTTTAATTAAAAAGTTTCAGTTCTTAAAATTTGAGTCATGTTTTGAATAGCTCCATCAACAGCTTACTCAGCTCTTGGCATAGATATCGGTCCATATATTTATGAAGTAACCCTAGGTGAAAATTGCGTACATAGAAACTGAGTTGGGTGCAATTCTTGATTTGTTAATTTAGGGCTTGTGCGTGGCGACTTTTTTCATCCAACAATCGCGCACACAAGCCAAATCCAGAAAAAGAATGCAAAACTCAGTATCTATGCGCACAAGAACCTCTTGTTCATTAAAAAAAAAACCCATCATTGCACCACTTGCATTGCGCAATCCCTTGACTTATTCTATGTCCACATCGACTATTTTCACTTTAAAAAATCAGGGACTGCACACGCTCTGACTTTGTCCCATAACACATCAACTATATATTCCTTAAAAAGTGTCAAGGAGCAACCAAAAAAAACAAAAAAAAAAAAAAAAATATAATAATAATAATAATATAATAATTTCAATAACTACATTTAAATCAACAATGAGAACATCAAAATAAAATTCCTTGCACTACAAAAGAAATATCCCTTACCTATCTACGAGTTAACACGTATTATATTAATCAAAAATTTCTTAACAGCATCCAAACTTCTAAAATTATCTGACTAGAATGTATACTGGCGTCGCACTAAATCACCAAATAGAGTAAAAAGTCCTCTGTAGTGCCGATATGGTTCGACCAACGCATTTCCTTCCTAATATGGCGACTAGTAAACCTTCCTTTCCCCAGTCAAGCTTTTTCCCCCTTTCATTCTCAATTTGTACAGACTTCAATTAATCTTACCACATCAGCATTTTACCCTGTAACCACAAATACAACATCCTTATCGAAATCCACGTACACTTTCATATCTTTCCACATCAATGACTGATCATACAACCAATTAGGTCATAACAGTTTCCATAGCATTCAATTCGCCGTTCCCAAAATAACACTACTGGCGATATAAAACACTGCACAAAAAAATATTGTGGCAAATAACCAATGTGCAACGCGCCCATTTAACAGCATGCCAATCTAGCTATTGCTGCTTTTAAGTGTAAGTTAGATAGTTCATATTTCTTAAGACGCCATTGAAATCAGTCAAAGTCGTTATCTAAGATCTATAGTCCAACCTCAAAACTACAATCTTTCTGCTCATGTCGTAATACTTTTATGCATCGCTATACGTTTACGAATTGCGTTTAATGTATAACGACGGTATAGCTAAGCTAAAATTCTAATTATCTATTTCAATTCATGTGTAGATGTGTGTCTTTAATATACGAATTGGATCTGGCTATTATTTTTTGCAGACTTAAGCAATTTTATAAAAGTAAGCTGAACTATCGATATGTCATAATTCCGATGCTGAGCGCCAAGGATCTACAAGCAAGTACGTTTCGATTCCATCAACAACAAGTGATTGCTGCAAAAAATGGATAAAGGCTATCCTTGTTATCTAACATCTGAAATCTGTTTATCAATTCACCTGCTCGCGGGGAGTAGACCTCGCTCAATGACCTGGAAGTTGATCTGTCGACTATCCTTATCTTCAGGCAGATGTTTTTATTTTCTTCGCTTATAATCTTACTAAATGTTTTTTCATCTCGATGACTCTGATATGATTAAATCAATCCTCTCATATAAATAGCACGAATCACTCAAAGTTTTTCCTGTTGCATTTTCTATTTCGACTATCTATTATGCTTTACGCATGCGCCATTGAAAAAATGTTTAAAAATAAACAAATAATATTAAGCATTTTTGGGGGGAAATTTTGATATTCTTTAGTCTGTGTTTCCCAACGTGGGGGCAAGCGACTGTTAAGGGGGCAATTTGAAAATGACTGGCCATAGTTAAGGGACAGGATTCTAAATGTTTCATGAATCAAATTTTTTCAAATTTCATTTTTTATTCCCCCAATACTAAAATGTAAGTTTGTATACTAAAAGTTTTTAATGCGGTGCATTTTAAATATTTTATAAAAATTTCTCGCTGTAACATGGCCATTAAATGCTTTTAAAGGCATTAAATAACTAACATTATGCTTCCAGACGTTTCTGCACATTTTAGCCAACGAATTATTTTATTTTTTACTGTAGGAATGGCAACCGGTCATATCATTCTTTCCTTGAATGGCAACAGCAGCTGCTTTCAGCTTTGTTTATATATCTTATATTTATTCTCCAGCCCTAGTGAAATGAGGGGTGCAAGCAAGAAAAAAACGTTCGTCGGTATTCGGAGACATATTTAAAATTTGGTTTCATACCCGGTCATTAAACAGTCAACTCTTGTCTTTTATGCCAATAATGCCTGACCAACGAATCAATGAAACTAGGTCATCTTGAGGCACATTTGAAGGCGAAACATAATACTGGCATTAATTCA